CTGAAAAACAAAACAAGAGCGTCACTTTTTTTTTTGCAGTGTGATCAGAAGGTACAGTAAAAGTTATTTTCATATTCTAGTGTTTGGAAACAGGGCTATTCAAGCCATTCAAAATAATGGAGATTGGTAGGAAGTTGTATTTTTTTATATTTTACCTTCATGAAACCCTGCTTAGAAATGGGTTTGGACTGACATGAGGCCGAGTAACCGATGACAGAATTGAACCCTTTAACGTCTAAAAGGCTCATTCGAAGGCTTCTGTTCCTCTGCAGCTTTGTGGGGTTCCTGAAGACCTGGCTGCCTTTCCTGATGATTTGTGGGATCATAGTCACCATCGCCCTTGCCATCAACCTGCGATGACTGAGGCTTCAACACTGAGAGAGATGCTGTTTACATCGAATGCGTCTCAATACAGAGACCTCTGCATCTAGTGACACGGAGACACGCAGACTATCAGTACCATGGTAAATAAGTGAATTACAGGGACTTTTTCCAGTACTGCTTTCATTGCATTTGATGTATTTGTAATATAATCATATCACATACATGGATGGGGCTAAATGAAACATGGCAGCAATTTCCTGTCAAAACGGTTTTCCATCATTTTTCCTAGAACTGCTTGCATTGAAGTCAGTTTTCATCAGTTATGTTTAATGATCCAGGCGTGTATTGTTTTATATTCAAGGGAGACTGTAAATTTGCTTATTCCTTAAGATTTTTTATGTTTACATCTTCATTTATATTATATGACCAAATAAAAAAAGTGTATCCATAATGTTTGCCCTCATTTATTTTATTTTTAATTTCATATTGTAAAGAACGAGAGCACAAACACAAGTTTCTGTGGTTTGAAATGCTGAAACAGACCTAGCGTTCTTATAGTGCCGGATCTTTTCTCTTCACTGGTGTTATTTTACTATGTAAGCCTGTTTCTGCCATCGGATTTAAAATAGGTATATAGTGACTATCTCACAATTCTGACTTTACATCTTGCAATTCTGTTTTTGTTTCTGCCACAGAATTAAAAATAAAAAGGTAGTTGCAACTTTTTATCTCAGAATTCTGACTATTTCTTGCAATTCTGAAAAAAAAAAACCTTTAAATTGCAAGCTATAACGTTGCAAATCTGACTTTTTTCTCTAGCAATTCAGTTCACATCTCGAAAATCTAAGTTTAAATCTCGCAATTTAGACACTTTTTTTCCTCAGAATTCTGATTTTACACTCGCAATTCTATTTTTTTTGTTTACGCCACAAAATTACAAATAAAAAGGTAATTGCAATTTTTAATCTCAGAATTCGTACTATTTCTTGCAATTCTGAAAACAAAACAAAAATTTAAAGTGCAATCTATAAACTTGCAAATCTGACTTTTTTCTCGCAATTCAGTTCACATCTCGAAAATCTTAGTTATATTTCGCAATTTAGACACTTTTTTTTCCCCTCAGAATTCTAATTTTACACTTGCGATTGCGTTTTTTTTCTGCCATGGAATTAAAAATAAAAAGGTAATTGCAACGTTTTATCTCAGAATTCTGACTATTTCTTGCAATTCTGAAAACAAAACAAGAAAAAAATGTAAATCACAAGCTATATATAAACGAGCAATTCTCTGAATTCTCTCGCAATTCAGTTCACATCTCGAAATTCTCACTTTCACAGAATTCTGACTTTTTTCTCGCAGTTCAGTTCAAAACCTGCAATTCTAAGGTTATATCTCGCAATTTAGACTTTTTTACTCAGAATTCAGATTTTTTTTTTTAAATGTCTGCCATGGAATTAAAAATAAAAAAGCCAATTG